AATCAATTGGTACAATCTGATCATTCGCCACACGAGCAGCCATACCAGAATCTTGCTCAGACATTGCCACTACGTCTATCACTTGCCTCGTTTTTCTTGAGCATAAAACTGTAGCCATTTAATACAACAGAGGTTTACACTGTACTCAGGATGCTTCTACGGGAAAATTTCTGAACAAGTAAACACTGCGTAGCCGAGAGTTTCTAGCATTACTCCCTGTACCCACTTGCAGCCGCAGCCGAAAGGAGATATGTGAGACCAATAAGACAATACATACAGCCACAGACACGAACACAGCGACTGCGACAAGGGCGAGACCAAGAATGATTACAGCCACAAGGACAAGAAGAAAAACAAGAACAGGTGCTGGTTGTACGAGCTACCGTAGCTAGCGGCAGCGGTGGTATCAGTACTGGCGGCAACAGCATGTCTGCCTTCACCCTTGCCTTACTATTCATTATTCTTGCCCAAACCCTTTAAAGGATCCAAAAATGGAACCCCGCCATATAAATCCATTACCACATTAGGGAAACTAGGGGATTATTAGGGGGTTCCACTCTTTGGATCCTTTAGGGGATCTGGATGGGAGCACCTGATCAAAACAGCTTGGCCTTCCATGCCACTCCAGAGTCCACAGGCGGCGCCCGCACAGCGGCCGCAAGCCTTGGCAAATGTAACACGCCATTTGGAGCTTAGGGGGCGATAACCCCAACATATATCCTATTATACTATAGTTGTTTCCATTTTCTTTTCCATTATCCCTATATAGTCCTTTTAAAGCCCAATAGGGTTTACAAGTCTGACCATGTTGCGCGCTCGTCGTTCCTTGCCCTGCTCTCAATATGGCCCCCCTCTTCTTCTCACCGCTGATGCTGGTAGCTGCGATTCAATGCGTAGTATCTCATGAACTGCAAATCAAGACACGGGGCAGGACCCGCCAAAACGAACAGAAGCAGCAGTCATGTTCGCTCTAGTGCTTCTTGCAGTGACGACGTAATGAAGGAAAAGCGCAGGCCAAGAGTGAAGTATGAGCTCATACAGTTTCATACAGGAGCAACGTAGCATTCACACCGCAGGAAGATGCCAAAAGAATTGGCAAGCGGGCGATTGCGCTCTGGTACTTGCATATAGTCCCCCTGAAGTAGATAGAATTTGCCTTGGGCCTTGGGTAGATTATGATAAGATCCCCCTACACCCCATATTCCATCTACTTAAGGGGGACTATAAACCCCAATTTATGTGTGTATATAAATATATCCTATTCTAATATATGTGTGTCCACTTTCTTTTCCATTATCCCTACATAGCGCTTATAAAGCCCAATATTTTATCTACTTATGGGGGATTACAGTCCTTCCCACACATCCCAGGGCATTCTGAGATCCCGTCCTGAGAGCCCCAAGACCTCTGACCCAGCGCGACATGTGACCCTCATGCAGCTTATCTTACTGGTGGTTAGTATCCAGACCCCCTCAAGGACCCAAAAAATGGAACCCCCTAATAATCCCCTAGTTTCCCTGATGTAGTAATTGGTTTATACGGGGGGGGTCCATTTTTTGGATCCTTTAGGGGGTTTGGGCAGGGAAGGAGGTAATATGTTATACGAAGGGACAACATAGGGATCAGGTTCCTTAATAGCACCCAGCAAGTTATGTGGTAGTTTCCCAGAATAGGGACCCCAATATAAACCCCTAAAATGCTATAACCCTTAAAATAGACTCCCCTAAGGGGTACCTCTAACATTAACTGAACATAGCTGAACCTTGCTGTGCCATGTAGCATATTACTTGACGTATTATGGCATCTGGCAGGGTATGTCGTATGCTTTAGGAGGACCCCCACCCTGTAATAGTGGCACAATAGGAATATAAGAGGACCCTAATATAATCCTTATATCCATAATAGTCACTATTACTGGGTGGGGGGTCCACCTAACGTATGCTCAGGTTCTGAAACTAATCTAGTACAGCTTGAGCTTTGCCTGGCCCGCATTACTCAATATTCCTCATTTGAGCTATCCTGCCCCCCTTCATAAGCCCTATAGTACACCCCTTATTTATACCCCTAAATCACCCCCCTTGAAGGAGTGTAGACTATCGGTACATGTGTGAGGCGCGGTTGGTATGATACTGTACGTTTTGCTGTTCTCTGAGCCAAGCTAAGCAAACGTCTGCTGTTCTCTGAGCCAAGCTAAGCAAACATAAGTGTGTCAACGTCAAGTCGCAGAAACGGCGCACAAGTCTCTAGCCAAGCAAGCATGCAGCCCCTCATGCGTGTCCGCCCCACGTGTGCAAGATCTCCTCTTTCGTCGCAGGACATTGAAACACGTGTTGGTACAATTCCCCAAACTGGACAATGCACCTTGAGTGCAGCCGCAGGGGTACGGTAGCGATTCCAGAGTTGGAACTGCGTTGTTGAAGTAGGTTTCATATTTCAAGATCAGCTTTGGCAATGTCCTCCATAGCCTGGCACCTTCGGTGTTCAGCCTCCTGGTTCGGCGCTGGATTCGAATTCAACTGCCACTTGAAGACTTGCCTAGCCACCACCGGCACCACCGTCACCACCATCGTGGCCACTCGTGCCAGCTTCGGCAGCTTCGGCAGCTCCAGCATCCCGGCCACCACTGCTGTTTGTAGGTGCACTCTCCGTGCTGCTCACATAGACCTTAGCGGTCCGTGAGTCTCTGACCTTGCTGCTCCTCATCAAGTAGGCCCATACCAGTGCCAGTAGGAATGCACTCGGGATAGCTATAAGTACAAATAGCCAGGCGCTGTCCATCAGTGGCGGTTCTTGTGTCCGGTACACAACCCCATCGGTTGGGCGTGCACAGGCTTGAGCCAAGAACGCAAAGGCAGGCACTGCAACACTCTAGGGACTTTAGGAGGGAGGGACCCCTAAAAGGGACCCTTAATCCCATTACCATATATAACCCTTGTATTGTCATTTTATAACCCCCCATATCCCTAGGATGTCCCCATATTAATCCCCATAAGCTACAAGGGTCCCTATTAGGGGTCCCTCCAAAAGTCCTTAGAAACAGTGACCAAACCGCCGTGAGCGACATGAAACGGAGCAGCTGGGAAGGTGAGCGCAAGATTGTGGTCTTTGCTTAGGGCTTAGGGTCTGCTACGGGGATAATGGAAAAGAAAACGGAAACAACTATGTTATGGTCCCCCATAAGTAGATAGAATATGGGGTTTTATTCGGGTTATGTAGGGAGGATGGAAAAGAAAATGGAAACAAGTAGTTTGCATCCCACTGAGCCCGGATCTTCGCACGCGCCCAGTCAGCATCTCAGTTTTGAGCATTTAGCACCACTTCGACCATCAGCAATTGCTTCTAACCTTGCCAACAGATTTGAGAGTATGGCCCCCTTATTATAGGACCCTGAATAAGGAGCCCCCGCTATTTGGAAACCCACACTCCTAAACCCTAAACCCCTGAACCCTAAACCCCTGAACCCTAAACCCCTAAACCCTAAAACCCTAAACTCCCCTAAACCCTACAAACCCCCATCATGCGGCCTATCCCTGATGATCCCTAGGCGGACGGCTGGCCCTTGAGCTTTCAGCTTTGCTTTGATATGGGTAGCTGTTCAACTTGCTTGCTTAATAGGGAATAGGGGTTTGTTTAGGGTTTAGGGTTTGTGGTTCAGGGTTTAAGGTTGTTTAGGGTTTAGGGCTTTGCAGGGGTAATGGAAAAGAAAATGGAAACAACTATAGAATAATTGGGTATATATTGGGGTTATAATCCCCCTTAAGTAGAATATGGGGTATTATAAGGGATATTTAGGGATAGTGGAAAACAAAATATGCAAGCTTCTTCTAGGAACGCCTGCACTTCAGGGAATGAATGAATGGAAAAGAACCTGGAAACGGCCGACTGGGGATCTTTTAGCTGTTCTAATTGGGACCGTCAGGGTCAAAGGGTATGGGGGGTTTATTGTGCGTAGAATATCAATAGAATACTTGTTACATATTTACCAAGATGTGAGGTCCATGCTTTTGAGGTCCAAATTCACTAGCACACGTCGCAGTAGCTATGAGGACACAACAAAACGCCACAATTTTGACAGCTACCCATCTTGAAACCTGCATGCTGGCAGCGAAACACGGGCACTTACAGGAGCAGTGGCTTTGCACAACCTGTCGAATGAAACCTGGCCCAGCGGATCTGCCATCTTGGCAAAAGCTCGAGCGACCAGTGCCATGATAAGCTACAAAGCTTGTCCGGGCTGTTGGTGTCAAAATATAAACTGCAACGGATGATCGCACATCTTCTGGCACTTCCTGCTTGAGGTATTACCACGGTACTACTGAGGTTGCTGCTTGCATCTTTCTACTGGTGCCGGCTGGGCAGAGATATTGCCGATCTGCTTTTTGGGTGCTGTTTTTCATTCCTGTCATTCCTGTGGCAAGTAGATGCAAAGTTATTTCCCACCGAATAGCTTGCACCTCGAAGAGGAATGACCTAATCGCCCAAATCAGACTCTGTAACTCTTTAGTAGCTCAGGTGGAGCCTTCTCGGGACAGGAAAAATAGCGGCGGCCCACCTGCCACAAAAAGCTTGAGGCTTGAGGAATTTAGAGTGATCAGATTGAGGGATACAGAATTTGCTACCACCGACCTAGCTTAACCTGGCAAGGGAGTTAGCTTTGTTGGACTTCGGTTTCCATTTTGGTTTAGGGATTTAGGGATGGGCGCAGGGCCGGGAATCTCCACTATAATCCTTGGCATGATTAGCAGGGTTTAATTTAGGGTTTAGGGCATCCCGGTTGAAAATCCAGTGGGCATGGAATTGATCTCCATTTGCCACCAGTGGTTGCAAAGTTGTTCTACGTCTGGGCATTGGGGCTTGCCACGTGCCCTAAACCCGTGCCCTAAACCCTATATAACTCCTATAATCCTTATTACTGGGACCCCCAAAAAGGTACCCCCTGATTTTGGGAAACCCCCATATTGATCTGTGGAAGCGTGCCTCAGGGGCAGTGGTAAACTCCGCCAAGTCCTGCACAATCCGTTAGGAGGACCCCTGTAATAGTGGTATAATAGGAATAAGGGGACCCTAATATAATCCCTATTATCCCCTATAGTCACTATTACTGGGTGGGGGGTCCACTTAACCAATCCGTCTTGCAATCGCAATCCCCTCCCCTCATGAGAAGCATCCTTCCCAGCAGCTGTACACATGTCTCCTTCATAAACCCTGAAGCGTCGAATCGAACGCTGTGAAAAATTCATGGTTGAGATTGGATGGGTTTCATGGATATCCGCATGGCTCATCCATCCTAACTCAAGCTTTTGCAAATGGAGGTCCTTGTAGTGGTGCAGCAGTGGGCAAACACCCTTCCAAAAGGACTCAAACACGTCTGGAGCGTCCACAAGCAGAATGCGCGCCAACCGTCGAGGGTAGTAGTTATGTATGACGTCGATCATGAAACAGACAAACTCCAGGTCGGCTTGCAGCGGTGTGAAGCCACTGAGATCCACGATTGCCAGTGCCTAGGGTTCAGAGGTTAGCCCAGGTTTGAAGACACTGAAATGGGTTTTTTCAAGATCACGGGTACCATTTTCAAGGTCCCCGTAATCAGGACTCTAATACTTGGGGTCCCCCATTTAAGGGAAACTAACAAATAATTCAAAGAACTTCGTTGGCATGCAGGGGGAGCAGGTTATCGAAGCTGTGGTCCCTTTCTGGGCCCACATTACAGTACGGCTCCTAAGATGCTCTATAGGCTCAAAAGTGACCATCATCTTGACAACGCCCCCATAGGAAAGGCAATCATACTGCAAATCTACTGCTCCAGGCCTGCTCCACTTGGTCGGCATCCTGGCTGGCGGGACCTTGCGCACTTGTAGGCTCCATGGTGCTCAGCCTTTCCAGCAGCTGTTCCATGTACCATGTACCTGAGGCATGTGGATCAAAACAAATGTTTCTCGCTACTGGGGCTAAGGTATCCGTAGCATTTGCACTTGTGCAGCATCAATTGATCCGGGTACACATGCTGCAGCTTTCTTTGAAGCGACGTTCCAGGATGTTATGGCGTCGGGCGATGACAACCAACACAGGCCTCCCTGCCACATCCCGGTGAGTATGCAGGTAGGCTTTGCGGGAGCGCATCTCCTTGATGAACAGCTCAGGACCCAGCCGCTCAACACTGAAATCTTTCCGCCACTCCAAGCACTTCCGCAGCTTGGCGGCAGCTTCCGCAACATCCAGGTGCCGGTCTCGCAAGAACCACCAGAGTAAAGCCCGGTTTTGCGCAGCTGGTCTTCCCCTGAACTTGAAAGTCTCGGGGATATGTCGCTGCAACTGCTGGATATGCAGCTCGGCAGTTTCAGAGTCCACGTGAAAGTCGTTCTCAATATGACGGGTGCCAAGGCCCAGTGGAAAGCTGTGAGCAACCGATCGGGCCTTTCGTGCCAGGATCTTCCGCCGCCTGCAAACACCCCATGCCAGAGCGGCAGATGCACCAACAAAGGCCACAGCCGGCCTTACTGGGGAAGTCGGGAATAAAGGAATGCCTTGGCATAGTGAAGGAAGAGATTCTTATAGTAGTCCCTTTACAATCCCTTCTTCTAATTTTTGGTATAACATGTCTTCCTTAATTCCCTACTAACCACCACCAAGCTGCATGTGTGCATGGCCTCTCAGCTGCCTCGGTGCTCGAGCGCCACGGACAACTTCTTTTCCACTTGCCTTACTCGTGCTTCAGACGGAAGTGGGCCAATGGATCTCTAAAACTATCCCTGATCCCCTCCTCCCAATAGTAAACCCCCCTCATCCCCATAATATCCATCATGTCAAATATGCATTTTAATATATTGGGAGGTGGTTTAATGTTAGGGGGAGGGGATTCTCCCTAAACGTTGCACCCCAAACTCAAAACCTTAAACTCAAAACCCTTAAACCCTAAACCTTAAACCCTAAAACACTCCCCGCTTGGAAGCACCAGCAAGCTGCTGCAAACTCCGGCGGCTCAAGACCAGGCTGAAAGTAGTTGTTGCGCAACTCCTCTTAGGCGTAGGGTTTCCGGTTTAGTCTGTGGTAGGGTTTTTGCCACTTGCATGGCCGAAGCAGCGCAAGGCACGATCCGGGAAGTATCAGAGGTCTGAAGTGCTCTCAGCAGATGCTCTCTTCGAGCTAAACCCAGCATACACCCATACTAAAGCCAGCCCCCAAGACAGCATCTGCAACGGTGGAGGCCTGAGGACACTGTATGCACAACATCACTAACGCCAGGAGCGGTCCACACAACTGTGGTAGGGTTTAGGGTTTAGGGTCTGGGGTAGTCATCCCCTCCCCTTTTCATAAACCGCAGACAAGACCATTGTACTTCATGGAAAATGTTGTTTTTTTTGGAGGTGCGGTGGCTCGTCACTAGGAGAAGGGAGGGATTGATAGGAATAATCATGAGAGCCATGCGAAAGAGCAAACCCTAAACACTACACCCGGGTTGCTGTTAAGGAGCTTACTTTAAGTTACCATAATGGGTATACATAGTAAATCATAGCGTTTCCCAACATAGCAACTCAAATTAAGTTTCTTAACGGCAACCCAGCATAGGAACAAGCGAAAGTGTCGGGAATGAGGGGGTGGACAAGTACATGGAATCTCCTATACGTCTCCCTAAACCATCGTCCTTAGAATCCGTCAGCCCCGGTAGTCCAGGGCTTCAGGTCCTAGACCATAAACCCTAAACCAGGTAGATCCTACGGTTTAGGGGGCGGGATGAGTTACTGGATAGCAACACGAAACTGCCATGTTAAGTAATCAGAGCTGATACTGTAGGGCTTTGGGCTTAGCAGGGAATTAGGGAATAGAACATAAAATCGGAAGCTACTGCCTGATTTAGGACCTAGGACGTAGGACTAACTTAGGACTGGTATTAAACCCTAAACCCTAAACCCTACCCTAAACTCTAAACCCAAAACCCTAAACTATAAACCCTATACCCCTTAGTAAGGTCCTCCACTGAGACAAAGTCTGCAAGGCTGGAATATCGGCCAAGGAGTGGCTTGATGTTCTCCCAAAATGTCCGGAACAGATCTGGAGCCCCCACCAAGAGCACCTTTCCTGTGCGTCCTGGATAATAGTTGTACAAGACCTCGATCAAGAATCCAGCTACCTCCAAGTCGGCCTGTAGAGGGGAGAAGTCCCTTAAGTCAAAGATGCCAAGGGCCTGTTCCGGCTTGTTTGGCACTGAACTCTGTTTCCCAGGTTGGGGTGGCTCCAAGGTGTCGCACTGCTTCATAGCTGTCTCCAGCATCCATGTGCACATACGCGAGCTTTCAAGCAAGCTGCGATCAAAAACATTATGCCTCCGAGCAACGGCCACAATCACAGGACGTCCAATAACATCCGGATGGCGGTGGACGTATCCCTTGCCAGCCCGCATCTCTTTGACAAACATGTCTGGCGCAAGGTATTCCACTCCTTAGGGAAGAGTGGCGTCACACTGCATCTCAAGAGCATAAAGGAATGCATCAAATCGTCCTCAGGGCCTTACGAAATTTTTGCCGCCAGCGCAAGCACTTGACCAGCTTCTCGGTGGCCTCCAAAGATTCTTACTGAGGGGTTTAGGGGTTAGGTTTAGGTTACTGCCAGCACATCTCTGTTCCCTGATGCTGCTCTCAAAGCAGATCCAACAATCGCAGAACTTAACATTATAAGACATCATCATCACCATTGTCATCTTCACGATGCTGATGAGTATGGTGTAGGCTTGTGATAAGAAAAGTATGAGCTATAGTACAAGCCCCTAGTATCCCCCCTGAATAACCCCTATCATACTCCCCTACATAATCCCCTTTAAAACCCTTTAGGGAGTTTAGACTATACCCTAAACCCTAAACCCTAAACTTTAAAACCCTGTAGGGAGTTTAGACTACACCCTAAACCCTAAACCCTAAACTTTAAAACCCTTTAGGGAGTTTAGACTATAGCTCATATCATGAACTTAGAAATTGGAGTCCGAAGCCTGAACTCGTTCACAAATCCGAGGTCTTGCTCTGAACTCTTATAGCCTCGCAGGGCCTCTGTGAAGGCCCCAGGAAGCTGCATCACAGTGAAAAAGCCAAATAGTACCCAAATATAACCTAGTAGTTTCCATTTTATTTTCTATTATCCCCATATATCCCCAAATTTACTACTGCTTTTACCTTATAGTATTCAGCCTACTTCCCCGCCTCCTTAACATCCAGACGCCGATCCCGTAGGAACCACCACACTAAGGCCGGATTTTCAACGGCCGGTCGATGTTGGAAGTTCCTTTGGACATGGCAGTACTTGCGTGAAACAATGGAATCCCCAGCGTTGCCTTACTGCGGCATGCAAGTTTCCACAGTTGCATTCCTTGTCATAACAGATTATGCCTATAGTCTAGAGATCCTCCGCTTAACACTGCTGTCTGGACAAAGCATGCTGACAAGAGTAGGAACAGCATGTTGCAACATGTTAATGCCACCAAGCAGCGGCAAATCCTTGTAACCTCAGAAGGCCGGCTCAGTTGCATTGAGCTCCATAGTCGGTGTAATAGTCGACTTAAAGGGTCAGGGGACTTAGTAAGTAGGTTAGTAACTGGGGGCTAACCGGGACTGTTCCATAGGCTACAGGCGTTAAAAGTACACATAATTACTAAATCCCCCTGACCCCC